GCTCCGGGAACGCAGCCGAATAGACGGCTAAGAGCCTCATAAAGTCTACATTAAAGCTTGGATGTTGTTGTACGGGGAAAGAGTATCCTGTTAGGAATACTTAAAAATTAAGCAAAGAACAATCAAAGACTGTTAAGATCGCTGTTAGTTAGAATAGACAGAAACTGTGTTAGATAAAGAAAGATAGGAGGACTCTGCCTGAAAAATTACTGTCGTGGATTTTATGGCTTGCTAAATGTCTACATTGCGGGTGCTTATCGACACAACTGTCATATCTTTATGGGGCTTTCTGTGAAATCGTTGGTCCTGCATGGAGGAAAGTTGTAACCTATTAAATTATTGCACATAGTAAAACTTTAAAAAAAATAATAAATAAATAAAAAAAAAATAAAGAGAGAGATTAAAACATGATTTAAAAAAATCCTAGCGCCCCAAATAATTTAAAACGCAGTTTTACTTTCCATGTGCCTGATCTATGTAAGAACATTTAAAAGAATGGGTACCTGTTATCACTAAGATAACAACCTGCATAATTTAGTTCTTTGCACGTACTTAAACCTGTAGTTGTTTTTACAAATTGAACCATTCACCTACTTTTCTTTCGTAGTACTTGCAGAAGGATAATACATCATAAAGTACAAAAACTGAATATTAAAGTGAAAAAATAACATGATACTGAGTACAGAAATACAGAAAGCTGATCCCTAATGCCTGCATACATAACACTTAAAAATGCATACATAATACATGAAAACTAAAAATAAAACTGATAAGCATAATACATAAACTGATCATTAAGTACTGCTATGTAGTCTAAATCCTAGCCAAGTACGAACTGACCTTCAATAGTACATGCCGAGAAGGAATAAATACAGACTTGAGTACTTTAAGTGAACATAAACAGAAAAGTACAGCACCATACTCAGTAAAACTGATATCTGATTCCAAACACTGAATACATAATGCGATACATAATTACAAAGAGAAACTTACCTACATTAATTCCATAGTTAGTTTTATCACCTTAGAACATGCACATAATTTATACAAAACATAATTAAGCACTAATCCTGATCACTAGAGAGAGATTCAAACATGCATTGATCACATAAATCAGAAGTGACCTCGTGCCAGTGTAGCTAATGTTAAACAAATAGTGATTTTAAAGAATGCCTTTATTCTATTGTGGTTTATGCGCTGTCGGCGAGTAGATTTAATTAAATCCAATAAGTTTAAAAGAAATGTGAGAAACAAATGCGTATAATTTAATATTCCGTACAAGGAAGTCATGTGGTGTACACATCAGATTTTTTTTTTAATGTTTCCCATACTTGTATTTAGTGACAACAAGAGAAATAAATAGAAACATGTTAAGCAAGGGACTTCTAGGATCAGAAGTAAAGCATTCAAATATTATGTTTTCATAGTTTTCCCAAAAATTCTCCAAAAAGGAAAAATTCGTCAAAAATTTATTATAAAATGCATCCATTACGCGTTTAGTACCATTAGTACTATAAAGACATTTTTAATTTTGTCACACTTTTTCTGGGATCTTCTAGAATAGTAGGTGTATAAATCTTACCTTCAAACTCTTCTAAACTTTCGAAAATGCAGTCTCTGAAATTTGAAAGAAATATTATCCCCTACTAATTCTGTAACAGCAAAACGCCAGAAATATTAAAACAAAATCAGAGAAAAAAAGTGCAAAATGAATTTTATAGAGAAAACTTTTGGACGTTCTAAGAATTCTGAATATTCTGAGACAATTACATGGGAAAAACTCTAACCATGAAAATATAAAAAAAGTCATTAAAAAATAGTTTCATAGCTATTTTGCTTTTGCTAAGAATTGTTTCATAAACTGAACTTAATATAATTTATTAGTCTGTGTATTTTTCAGACTGTAATAAAAGTCGCCAAAATGGAAAGTAATGTCACTTTACGATATCACAAGGAAAAATGAAAATAAAAATATTTATGTTATTTCTAAAATAATTTTAATCTATTAACATTATTTTAATGAAATTTATGAATGTTATAATGTTTTAAAAAATCGTCGAAAAATTCCCAAATCTCCGAATTAAAAGGTTTTGTACAGAATTTGATCTTAAAATTGCCAACATGTTGATTAAGTCGTCAAATTTAGAGCCGTTTAATAAAAGAATTCGCATCCCTAAAAGAGAAAGATTGTTTAAAAGAAGAGAGAATTTCGAAATCCTTATGTTTAACTTCTTGTCCAGAAACTGGAGTAGCGCTCCGTTTACATTAGAAACAGGAACAAATTCAAACGATAATCTATAAAACACATCAGTTAATCAGTGAATCGCCAAATATATTCCTCCAAAATGCTAATTGCGCATACTCAAAAATGCATATCCCAAATGGCACTCGTAAAAACAGACAGAAATTTCAGAAGATTAAAAGTAAGGACCTTCTGCAGCTTTTGGCCAAAATTAAGGGCTTTTAAGGACCAAAAATCGATTGCAAAACACATAAGGACTTTTAAGGACTCTTAAGAAATAGTACGAACACTGATTTTCAGATATAAAACTTCATGCAAGTAACAGATTGTCTCCAAACAAATCAGATTAAAACATTTAACTTTTTATTAGGTGGAGTGAGATATTTGTCCTTAATTGGCATGATGAGATTTTATAACACGTATATAAAATTTTATTTCGCGGATCTTTTTCAAAAAGAATCATTTCTTCCTACGAGGATTAGTAATTGCATTTTAAGATAAAATGTGCAATAAATTCTTTGAAAATAGTTAAGGTACCTAGATACAGCAGGTATTCTATCTCAAAAGCGAAAGCTTCCAGTAAAATACGTTTCTCGACTCCCTGAGACCCTGTTGTAAATAGTATTTTTTGATTATTCGCACCCTTCGTTTCCGAAAATCCCCAACCCATTGGCGACAACTTTTGCTTGGCTATCTTTACGGCTTATAGGTACCGTTCGTTCTGTTTATAAATAATTAATAAAAGAAAGCATTTCATAAGAAACGAGAAATTTTGAGAGAAAGAACAACAATCTATATATGGCCAATATTTACATTTTTACAGCTGTTGGATACCATTTAGCAAAATGAAAGTAAAAACACGCGCAGATGCACGTATACTCAAACACGCGTGTTGGTATGCGCATGCGTGGATTGGCTTTATCGCATTTATACTCTAAAGGAAGGCTTCTTAAACTTTTTCCAGTCACGACCCCTTTTTATTACTGAGATTTTTTTCGCGACCTCAGGACCCCATAATATTTACGAAAATTTTGTGGGACCCCATAAGCATTGCGCAAATCCGACACACGCGTGAGTGAAATTGTCAATTTTTTTACTTGTACTGTAATATATATACTATTACAGTTTTCGGTCATTAACTTTAATTTCTAATTTTAAGACATAGAACAAACGTGAAATTTTTAAATAAGTAACAGACGAAATGACAGCGTCACGTGCAAAGCAAGGAAAATGAACGTTTATATTATTAAAAAGAATGCTTCGAAACGTTTTCGTTTTTTCTATGTCTGTATTGTCTTATCTTTATCTATTTTCAGATACATTGTGTAAAAATATTTGGTAATTGAAAGATTATTATAATAAGTTAAAGAAACATAAAAACTGTTAAAATTTTTGGCGATGCCCAGCTACCACAGTTTAAGAAACTCTACTCTAAAATGCTCTAAAAGCAGTGGTCTTCTCCAAAGATGTAGGCTCGTGATCACTTGCGAGTGTACTAATGTCACATGAATGTATTAATGTCACATGTATGTGTCACATATACACTACATGAGTGTAATTGCTATTATTTTCCTTTTAGGGGTACGCGATCAAAAAAAAGTTTTTTAAATCGCTGCTCTAAATTACGCTGAAAACACGCATCTCTACCGTATGCGGGAATCAAAGTGCGGATGACTAGAACGTACAATCTCGATTTTGTAGCATATAAAAATATACATTCATTTTATTTAATTTACATTTATTGTATAAAATTTTTTTTTTTTTTTTTTTTTTTCCAGAAATAAATTCACTCAAGTCATGTTAAATTAAAAATCGAATAAAAACAGAAGAGTGCGCTTTTGCGTCAAAATTTTAACAACTGATAAAGGGGGAAAAAACATTAAATGTTTCTTCAGAAAGAGCTATCCCGGAGGAAAAATCCCCAACTTCAGGAAGTAGGTCACACGACTAAACTAAACAGTTGGCTTATTTTGGCCTTTGGCGACTAAAATGCGATAAGCATACCGACACTCCTGCTACCGTTTACAGAAATGTCTCATACTCAGAAAAATTGGCGTCTGTAACACATTTAATTATAATAAATGCGTAAAGTATTATATCCTTGAGCATACCAAATTAAAAAAAAATAATTATAAAGAATAAGTGAAAAAATGGATAACATAATTTGATGTATATTTCTTGAAAGACATACACTCTATTCTACAGCAGTTTTTAACTGTGTTTCTTTTTTTTTTTTTTGTTTATTCTCTTATTCTAATTTCATTACTATTATTTTAACTATGCAATCTAATCTATGACATTTAATCTTGAGTTTGTTAAATACAATTTTATTAGACATAATAAACTCGAGAGGAAAATTTCTATTTTACTTCATTCAATGAAATTTATAATCATCATTATTTCATGTTAATCCACGAACGAAATATTATAACAATAAACATCGTCTTCCGTAACATCTCAACAAAACTTTCGAGCGCCTGAATTATAATGAGAGTTCCTGTTTAACACTTTTTAATAAATTATTTTATTACATGGAATATTTTCATAATATATTTTGCAATAAGAAAGGTTTAAAATTAAAAAAACAACGGATTAGGGAAAAAAAAAATATGAAGGCTGTGTTTAAATATTTATTGTACTATCTACGCAAATATCAAACACACAATTGATTGAAAACAAATATGAGTCACCCTATATTACGCTACAAACTTACTGCATCAAAGTCATGAATACTATTATATATAAAACATTTACTTACTGCAGCTCCAATAAGAATAACTGTAATCCTTTTTTTAAACCATGGTGCAGGGGAATTACTGGGAGCAAAATCAGATCGGGGCTCACTGCTCATTTGCATAAGTTCCATAACTGGTTACTAGAATTTAAATTCGATCGCATGGCGCGAAATATCAACAACCATCTTTACACAGCATAAACGACTTTACCGTTTACCGTTCGAAATAATTTGCGTCAAAATATTTGCTTGCCATGTTCACTTCTCTAAGAATTCTATATATATTTTTAACAGCTGATGACAGATATGATCAAAGAACCTTTTAATCTCATTTAAATTTTTACACTGCATAATAATATGAAGTGATACTTAAAAAGCAGCTTTACCCAACCTGCTCCTTTGTGCCGCTTTCCGCACGCGAACTCTCGACTCGTGACCGCTTTAAGAGAGAAAGGTTGCCATATTTTCCTTCTTATCGATCATTCTACATTTTCTGCTGATGATACACGCAAAATTCTTTTCCTAGTTCACTTCGCTACATTTGCTGTCATTAAAACAATGCAATCTAGTCCATCTTTCAAATTCATCTCACAACCTAAGCTTAATTTCTAAAATGAAAAGAGTAAAAGGTAGGAAAGGTAGACAAGTATACTGAAAGAAAACATACACAGTAGCTCACGTTTGTTTTCGGATTATATTTTTTTAATGTGTTTGAATGACAAAAAATAATAAGTGTATCTATTTAATATTATAACATCCGTGAGATTTATATAATATATATATATACCATGGCTATTTTCTTTAATAACCTGTCTCTTGGAAAAAGTGGTGTGATAGAAATTTTCTTAAAATAATTTACTAAAATATGCTCTAAATTAATTCTTTTAAGCATTTAATGCAATAAGATACAATTATTTGACATACATATACAAGTAACATAAATTGGCTCTTAGCGCAAAATAGGTATTTTTCTACTAAGGATTCAATTGATTTTTTAATGTAGGAATACTGAACTGCCTCTGGTGGTTCTTCTTTCAAAATTTGTTTCAGTTACACTTTAAACAAAAATATGTCTCTTTGCTCTCAGGCGAGTCATGAAAAGTTTAAGAAAGAGCTTGCACTTAATTTTATAAAAATAAAATACAAATTGTAACTAGAGTTTTTACTTTTTATGCAAATACATGTAGATAATCGTGTCTGAAGCAAAAATATTTTAAAAGGGAGGGTAGAATACTTACAATTTAAACAAACAAACAAAAAAAAAATCACATAAAAGCACAGAAATTACTTGACACAATCTCAGTACGTTTAATAAGCAACAAAATTTCTGCTAGAAGCTCCAACATGCTATTTTCTTTTCCTTTTACATCAGGTAAAGCCCACCAGTTACCGAGCAGTAAGATTGCTGAAAATAAGAAGGGCAATCCAGGTCCATATATCGACAGACCAACTGGATGGGAGATTTCGTTGCTTTCTTCGTATTAGCTTTCTTCATAATATACGTACGAGCCAGTTTACCTTAGAAAGCTCTCAAAGAAGGCATTCCTCCTTTCGTAAACATATAACTGTTATGTGCTTTGCCACAATGCATATAACCTAATCCTCGTATCAGGTGATCTTCTAGAACAGGCTGTCCAACTGGCGTATAAAATGTATGGGCTGTATAAAATACGCCAAATTATTTTTACGGCCCGCGAGTACATTTTACTATGAATATAAATTTATGTTACTAAATTATTATTAGTAATATTGAAATTATTTTACTATGTGAAAATTTAAATCTAATTTTAATTTATAGTAGGTACTATTCAGTTTGCGTAACTTAACCTGGCTGAATAGAGCAGCAATCCGTTTAACGTTGGTGCCACATATTATATTTGTGGTTGGTTGTTGTTTATCTATGGTTGGCGCATGTGATGCGCACACTACCTTGCGCTACTTGGTTGATTTATGCAATAGTGCGAGTGCAGTCTCGTCTAGAATTTGAGGAGTGACTGTTATAATATCATTAACTTAATTTCATATTTATTTATTAATTAAAATAATTATTGAATATGAGTGCTACTAATAAAAAAGAAAAAATAGACCTCGAAAATCGAGAATTTCAAGATCGCTGAGGACATAGATTATTTATTTATTCTGAACAAGAATGGTAAACTACAGTGTTTGGAATGATTACAAATCATAGCACTGTGTAAAGAATATAACTTGAAGTGCCATTATCTTTCCACGCATAAAAAAAAAGTATCATTCGTACATGTGAGACATGAAAATACCACTAGCGAAAAAAATGAAAAAGCAGCTGGATCATCAAACGATTTATTTTAATCAAGAACCAAAATTTCAAGAAGCATCTGTAGCTGCATCCTTTGAAGTTTGTTTAGAAATAGTAAAGGCAAAGGAGCCATTTTTGGATGGAGAATTCATTAAAAAATGTGCCATAAAAATGGCTCAAGCATTTAATGACAACGAAATGGTAAGAAGATTTCAAACAGTATCACTTTCTCACCAGACTGTAAGCCGACGTGTAAAGGAGATTAGCATGCATGTCACTAATAAATTAGAAAACTTAATCAATAGTTGCTGATATTTTTCGGTAGCATTGGATGAAAGCACAGACATTTCCGATACAAGTCAAATGCTTATCTTTATAAGAACTGTAAATGAAAACTATAATTATTCAGAAGAACTTTTAAAATTACAATCATTACATGGAACAACAAAAGGTGAAGATATTTACAAACAATTCAAATATTCAGTACAGCAGTATGGGGGATTTGACAAGTGCACTGCTATTGTAACCGACGGTGCTAGAGCTATGACGGACAAAAATATTGGGCTCGCGGGACTTTTGCAAAAAGAAGGAATAACATGTCGTATGTTACACTGTATTATCCATCAGGAGCCATTATATGGTTTATCCCTACAACTAAAAGACGTAATGGACATGGTTTGCAAAATTACTAATTTAATTCGCGGCGGAAATCGTTCTCTTGCACACCGAAAATTTAAAAAATTTTTAGATGAATTGGAAACTGAGTATGGAGATCTGCTTTTACATAGTAACGTTCGTTGGTTAAGTGCTGGAAAGTGCTTGAGGAGATTCTTTACACTTCGAAAAGAAGTTAATCTTTTTCTCACAGAAATTGCCGTCGATGAAAATTTGACAGCAAATTTAGTTGATAAAAATTTTATTTATTCACTTGCTTTCCTAACGGACATTACAAATTATTTAAATATTTTGAATAAATCCTTGCAAGGACAAGATCAAAAATGTGTGTTGCCTTTATAAATATGTTACTGGATTTAGAAACAAATTAAAATTGTTAAGGTTTAATATGGAGAAAAATAATTTATTTCATTTTGAATCTTGCAAAGAGATCTATGAAAAAATGAAGGAATGTAATATAGAAGCGAATTTTAAAATATTTCTACTAAAACTGGATATGCTAATTACAGATTTCAATGAAAGATTTTCTCAATTTGATGATCTTAAACCGTCTATTGATTTATTTTGTGGTCCAATTAATATTGATATACACTCCGTTGATCTTAAATATCAAATAGAATTATGCGACCTGCAGGCTGACCCATTTTTTACATCTCGTGGAGTAACTAGATTTTGGACTTCAAATTGTATCAATGTTCGGAAGTACACATATCCGCGAGCGTGCATACTCCGATATGAAATATATAAAGTCAAAATATAAAAAAAGTTTTAAAGATTCCACTCTTGAAGATATAATTAGACTTGCCACAACAAATATTGATGTGGACAATAAAAGATATTGTTACTAAAGAATTATAGCCACAATGTTCTCATTACTATATTACTAATATTTGAAAGTTTTCTTTTTAGTATAAATAAAATATTTTTTTAATTAACATAAACTGACTTTTCATTTATCAACCTTCTTGGCCCCCGAAATGTTTGGTGAAGAAAATATGGCCCGTGGGCTACGATAAGTTGGACATCAGTTCTAGAGCATTCCGAGCAATGATTTCTTTAAAAAGATTTTCAATAAAGTTTAGATAAAATTCTCTTAAAGTCATTTGATTATGGCAAAGCATACGAAAGCTATCTGCCTGAATTCTTTTAAAGATTTTCCATTTAAGGAGATTGCCATTAAATCTGAAATACGTTGTACAGTCAAAGATCTTGTTGGGGAAAGATTTTTCATCACGTTGAAATGTTCGTTCGGCTTCAGGATTATCATAATGAATTTAGCTTTCTTATGTTATTAAATATTTCGTTATGAAGTTTTTCTCTTAAAGCCAGCTCAACTAAATCTCGAAGATAATTTTATTTCATGCTTTAAAGGCCTTTTCCATAGTCATAGTCATATTACGTTATCACTGGTTGGGTTTAACGACCTCAGTTCATATTTCAAAGTAGTTTAGGATCAGCTTGCTTAGTGACATATTTCAACAAAAACTGAACAACAGGTCTTCATCCTATCATCCTGATCGCAAACAATCTGATATATATTAATATATTTATTCGATACAGACGGTTTCTTTTCTTTATTATATAAATTTTAGGTTATCTGCAACGTGTTTCATCCTCCTTAAACAAAACCAGACCTTGATCCTCAGGAAGAGGAAAACTAACGGAAGTCAAAGTATTATGTGTGTGTGTGTGTGTGTGATTATGGCAAAGCCTCGAGGGCTATCTGCCTAAGAGGAGGGATGCCTTCGTGGAGGACTTTCTAAGGGAAACTGGCTCGTATACACGTTACACATGGGGAAAACCCACGAAAACACCCATGCAGCCAGCCCGTTCGCGGGATTTCGAACCTCGGACCGAACTACCAGTGTTCAGCGACTTTTACCGCTCGGCCGCTGGTGGGCTCAAAGTATTATGAAACGCAAGACATGTGTTTTCTCGGAATAAATAGGCAAGCAAATAAAAAGAACAGGACTCTCGCACGAGCTATAGATCACCATTGCCTTTTTTCTTCTCCAGTTCATTAACCGGCGTCAGTGCCGATACGATTTGTGCCTTGGCAGCAAACGGCATAAATTAAGGGCTGGCAAAATATTGAAGATGCTTCGCGAAAAATGCCCTAGCGCCAATCCTGTGTTCATTCTAGGCATTTCGACAAAATTTAAACTCGGTACAAGGTACTTACGTTTTATCCCGTCGATCGTAGAAGCTGGCTACCAGCGAATCATAAAATTTGGCGGTGAACCTGCGAAAGTTGCGTTAGTCGTTCGCGCAGAATCCTGAAGTAACTGACATCTTTTTATTTAAAAACGATCAGTACTTAACCCGCTTCGTTTCTGTACTCCATAAAAATGCTTCATTGATTTCTGTTATTTTGCTAAGCCCTCCGATTTTATCGGAAGCCCTGTTTAGAATACAATGTATACAAGATTCCCACAATCTCTTACTATTTTGTCATTCA